TAACAAAGAAGACATATCACAAGTACAAAATACCAACATTTACAGGGGCTTAAATCAGTAATTCCGGCTGAAGCCCGTGCTTTTTATGACACCTTCATTGATTGGTTAAAGTACAGTAGTCTCTCCCACTGTTTTAAGAAAACAGAATTTCTACTATACAAAAATCACCCCTAAGATCCCGCTTTGAATCTGATTCACTCTGTAGGTGTACATTCGACTAAGATCCCGCATTTCAGATCATAATTTGCGGAACAAAAACCCGGGCGGGACAGCCGATCAACCAAGAGTGAAAAGTTGAGATCAATAAACTGTCCGTCGCGTCAAAGATCAGCCACTATCGTGAATGTGATCACATACACTCGATGAAGCGATACAAAGTTTGCCCCAGACTGACTACACCGTGGTGTGAAGTGACCGAAACGTTTGTTTTCCCCGAAGATCGCACTCACACCTGAGCTCTCCACCTAAACTTACATCACTCACTGGGTGGGTAGGGCCTACACGTTCGCTCCAGGTGGGATCACATTGAACTGTGAACTTTTCCCTGACCATTGCAGAAGTTGTCTCCACTCCCAAATTTACGAGACAGACTGAATTTTAATTGGTGCGTTCACAACGTAATGGTGTGTAACGACAAAGGCAGTTTGGGGGGGGGGGGGAGGACTCGGTCAGAGATGGAAAGCTATAAATTTTCGACAGGGAAGGGGGAGGGGCAACTGGATAAGCGTAGATCTTGAGACTCATGACAGGATAATAAGTGAAAATGGCACGCCTCATGCCATTATGCACTGTGATAGGTCATCAAGGCTAACCACTCTTTGCTCGCCATACGTCATAAACCCACCAAGGGGGTCATGTCAGTTCATTTTAGAGTGGAGGGAGAACATTTAACTGATTGTGGGCCTTAGCATGGGTCATCATAGATTCTTCCCTGGGTTCGTCGGTTAAGATCCCGGTTCGCCTAAGATCCCGCATTTCCTTGCTCCCGAGCACCGGGATCTTAGGCGGAGACTACTGTATTTCGATATTTGACTGTGTGCACGAGTGTGTGTGTGTGTGTGTGTGTGTGTGTGTGTGTGTGTGTGTGTGATGAATAAATGGGACTGTAAATGATCGTTCCCATTGTTAAGGAAAGCGAATTGAGACGCTTTTTCAAAGTATTATATAACTCGCACAATTAACAATAACTATATTTCAGTAACATCTTTATGAGTAGGAATGTACTAAAAATTGACAAGACTGCAGTTTGATGATGTAATAAACTGGTAAAACAGTTTCTGCTTGAACCTTTTTTTGTTTCTTGTCTGACAGTGTCATATTATATTTTATATTTTATCCTTTACAGGTCTAAAAACTATCAATAATATCTAAGAAAGCTGTGATAAGCTGAATGATGATTTGCCCTCTAGCAAACCATGCCTTTGACGTAATAAACTGCAGTGCATGATAGCTTAGTACATTGTATCAGAGTAAAAAAGGGACCGAACAAATGTATCTAGCCAATTATCTCATTACAAAAACACTTTTTCACAAAATGATTTGTCTCTAGCAATCAGTAATGCCTTTCCCTACTTTCATTATCAATTTCGAAGTGTACATATGTAATTTCTTAAAGAATGAAACAGTTTTTTCTCTCTCCTGAAAAATTTTGGTTTTAGGGCTTGTGACATTGTATCATGTGGCCGACGATATCCATTTTCAAAATAGTCTGCCATAATCACTCCTTCTTGGTCCCAAAAAACTGATTGCATCTCTTTTCCTCTTGATGGCTGCCTTCTTTGGTGTTGGAGACAGGGTGATTTCCACAGCGTTGATGCAGATTTTGACTCAGGATCATAGTAGTGGACTCATGTCTCATCTATGGTTACAAGTCTTTCAAAAAATTTAGTTTCATCCTGTTCATACAGACCAAGCAATTCTTAACAATAATCCACATGTTGCACTTTTTAGGTGGAGTCAACAAATGTAGGACCCATCTCGCACAAACCTTGGTCATATTCAAAAGTTCATTAAAGATTCATTCAACTGTTCCAATGCTAAGCCTAGTTTCTTTGCTCGAAAGTTCGACTGTCACCCGCCTATCAGACAACACAAGTTTCTTGATTTTCAACACATTCTCTTCTGTTGTTGATGTCACTGGGCGACCATCACGGTGGCCATCTTCAATGTCCACGAATCAGCATTTGAATTTTTTAAATCCAAAATTTCATCACAGCATAGGATGGACAATCAGTTCCATATACGGCATGCATCTTCGTAATAATATCTTGTTGTTGCTTGCCTTGCCAGAACAAAAACTTCATTACTGCCCTGCTCTCAATTTTCTTCATTTTTATGTTGAAAGTGGAGAACAACATACCTCTCTTCATTGGTGATAAAACCAGTATTCGGAAATTCTCCAAAATTTACTCACATTCTAGGAAGATAATTGTTGGCTTTCACCCCAAATTTCAGCTTTCTACCTTTGTTCCTTCATGGTCAGGTAAAAAAATTTTTGCTTGTATGCCCCTCGTATGGTGTAATCGAATTGCAGTGAATCTTTTCCTGCAAATGTCCATTTTATTTCTTTCCAATTCAAAGTGTTTGATTACGTTTAGTTGGTTAACATGTTTTGAATCAGGGAGAGGGTTTGGAATAAAGTAAGCCATGTTACAAATACGAAACTGGTCTCAAAAGAAACCCATTCCATTTGAGTTTCATTCTGTTTCCATATATGTTTATGTTCTCAGTAATAATTTACTTACTATGGTGTGCAAAGAAGGAGAAATGTGAAACACAATTGGCATGACGTCATTGTAAAGCAGCGTCACTTTGCACTTACGAGAGGAAAGTGATATAAAAGATTTGGTGCGAAACCGTATAGTACAAGCAAATTTGCCACGCAACTGGCAAGTTGACACTCCCTTGGGTCCCGCCATGCAATTGGCTCTTACATATATATATATTATCATCATCATCCAGTGCCAAATCTGTGACAGACATTGGTGATCATGGTTCTCCATTCATTTCTAGCTCGGATGCTCTTAAAAAAGATACATTACCCTGATCTTTTCCCGTCACCCTGCTCTGGGCTTACCCCTGCCTTGTTTGCTTTCAATTTTGCCAGTGAGAGCTAGATGCTAAAGCATGATGTCTATTCAGGTATCCCAAAAACTGCATTTGTTTTTCCCGATTGTTTTTATCAACAAGTGGAATACGTGGATTTCTTTATGTCTTACCTCATTCGATTTCTTGTCCTTCCAAGATATTCTCCGCATTCTCCTATGAAACCACATTTCTGTTTCTTCTATTTCATTTTCACTGTTTTTGGTGACTGTCCAGCATTCACAGCCATATATAGAAGGGTTGACCATACATAGCATTTCAGAACTTTCTTTTTGGTAGTCATTGAGATGTTTCTACATTTCACGATTGGGCTCATTCTATTGAAACCATTCTTAGCCATTGAAATTCTTCATTTAATTTCAGCGGAACATTTGACATCAGATGTAATTGTATATCCTAGACATTTAAACTGTTGAACTTGCTAGTCTTTTCGCCTTTGCTTATGAGATTTACTGACTTTTTTTATATCCTCATGCATTGTTTTCTTCACATTCAACAATAACCCTTCACCGTCCCCGTCCATAACAAGAGTATCTAGAGCTATTGAAGGTCCTTTTCTGAACCTGCTATTAAAACTGTGTCATTGACATATCTGATGTTATTAATATTCTCGTCATTCACTTTGAGATCTGGACATTCTTCTATGTCTCACTGTATATCTTAAAGAGGTCTGGTGACATAACACATCCTAGACTCACTCCTCTGCCAGTCTGCTTATTCGCTGCATTTTCTATTAATAATATATACACGTGGTAGTCTCTCGGTAAGATCCCACCGTTTACGATCCCGGTTTGTTTAAGATCCCACTGTTTTTTAAGAAATCAGAATTTTTCCAAAACAAAAGTCACTTCAAAGATCCCCCTCTAAAGGACTACATTCGGCTAAGATCCTGCATTTGATAATTTTGGGAACAAAACCTCTGGTAAACACAGCTGATCAACCAAGCAGGGATAATTTTGATCATTGTACAGCCCCTTGTGTCACAGATCATCCAATCTTGTGAATGTGATCACATCTCCGCTGTAAATCTCCATGAGGAGGTACAATGTTTGCCCCAAACAGGGATAACACTGAGGTGTGAACTCATCAATGCATTAAAACATGGCACTCAAATTTGAGCCCTCCACCTGAACTTACATCACATGTGAGGTGGGTAAGGTCTACAAAGCCACATCAGGCAGGATCACATTGAACTGTGAGCTGGTCGATGCTTCTGTTTCTCTGATCATCGCATCAGTTGTCTTTCATCTCTACTCTCAAATTTGCTGGACAGACTGGATTTTAATTGGTGCAGTCACAATACAATGGTGTGTTACAACAGAAGCAGGGCAACTTGGTCAGAGATGGAAAGCTATAAATTTTTTACAGTAATGACAGATTAATAAAGGTGAGGAGCCATGTGATCAACGTACATCTTGAGAGTCAGGACTGGAGAAATGAAAATGGCAAGCCTCATGCCATTGTGACTGGTCATGAAGGTTAACCACTCTTTGCTCGCCATAGGTCATATCCCCACCCCAGGGGTCATGTCAGTACATTTGACGTAAGAAATGGTCATTTTACTGATTGTGGGCTTGACCATGATTTACCATTCAATTATCCCAGCGATGAATAGGTTAAGATCCCATTCGCCTTAGATTCTACAGTCCCCATACCATCAGGACATACTATGCTCAACATGGTAGATGAACCGAGAGGAGTTAGATTAGTGATTTCAACACATATTTTTTTAGAAGACCCCAAAGTTAGGGCTTTTGTCCAAGATATCATTTCACAAAGAGCTCTCCCATTGGCATCAGAAATTAGAATTCCATATTTTGCGTTAAAGCAGCTGTAGTAAACTGGGAAGACAGAAGCTTGAAAAAGATCACTCCAGCTATTTTTTAAATACTTACATTCTAGATCACAAGGGTCACCTATTCTCACTCTCTTCAGTGACAGCACCTTTGGCAACGACAGGACAGCTCGTGATGGAAGTGTGTTGTCTTGTGCTAGAGTCAAAGTACCTCCATGTATGAAACATTCACCAATGTTATGGACGCCACACTCTTCACACCCTGAAAAATAAAACAAGCAAGGGAAAAGATCTTCCAGATCTTAAAGCTATTCAAAACTTTTAAGTAATGTTATAAATTCTTGATGAGAAGCATTGGAGGCCGTCAAGTTGAGTTTCCGCCTCTTTATCCACTGATCACTTGATGAAACGTTTGCAGGTTTTATAATGGCTCTCAAGTTACTTATAGTAATACAGACGAACTACAGAACGCTACTCACAGAAGGGACACCAGTATATGACATTACAATGATATATAAATTATATCTATGTAATACAGAGCTGTATTCTTGGACTCTGTAACACACGTCCTAACATGCTGTGCAAAACAGGCCCCAATATCCCAGTGTCAGAGAAATATGCTTCTAAACTCATGAGGAAAATCAAATACAACAGTCAGTTTCCCTTGTTTCTGTGGTCTAATTCGCTGCGATTGCCTGGCGGGCCACAAGCACGTGAAATGAGTGAACAAATTCAGTGTAACCTAGTGAGTGTAGGAAAATAAAGGCAGACGGGGGTATATAAACAGACGTGAAACTTGAGCCAGCCTTCCGAGCCGCGACTTAAATATATAGGCTGAGCAGGGATCGACGCAACTGGTGGGTCGACGCAGTGGATGGAGCTCGGACCTGTAAGGCTCGTACATATCGTTCCCCGCTCAAAACTGAAAGTATTGAACACAACATAGATATAACATAGCATTTATCATCTCATTACAGTTTCAATGGCAACTAGCATAAAAGTGCAAAAGTGAATATCCCGATAAGCATTCACCCTAAGACCATAGTCCAAAGTGCAAACACAGAAGTGTGTAAGATAAGATTTTCTCACCAGTAGATCACTCGAGCTATATTCACTTACAAACAACATCTACTACACTTGCGAAGTCACCACCAATGCCATCTTGAGGTTCTCCTTCTTCTTCCCTAAGCTCCTGAGTTGAAATAACTAATCTGTCTCCTCTTGGTTCATCTACCATGTTGAGCATAGTATGTCCTGATGGTATGGGGACTGTAGACTCTATGCGTCGATTTTCACCCAGACCCACTGAGTTAGACATTTCGTTATTTATCTGAAAGAAAAAATTATAAAGAGTTAATCCAAATCAAACTTGGTGCATTCTGAATGTTTTCTCTTCACTATTGCAAGTGCTTTGAGGGCATCAGCAATAGGCCTTACTTCTCTTCTTTTCTCTCCGATGTTTCTGTCTGTCAAGTTATCTTTTCTCTCAACTAGATAACCGATGTCTAAATGTGATGTTTCTCTTGACTCAGACTTGCTTCTTATCATCTTTAAAAGCTTCTTGTTTTGTCACCTAGTCTTTTTAAAAGGGTCTGAAAGTAGAGGAAAAAAACTGAAAGGCAGCTTGTAAGTTATAGCCTACCAAGTGCCACAGTCAAGGAACAACATGGGATACAGGCAATGCCAGAGAGAAAGGGAGGAATAATGTAGAGAGAGGTAGAGGTGACAGAGAGGGAGGACATTGGTGTGAGGAAAAAGAGATTTTACACTTCAATATATATATATATATATATATATATATATATATATTGAAAAAGAAGGTAGATAATTTTAAACATATTTATTTGCTTTTTTTAGTTTTAGTAGAGGTTTTACGGCGCTCGCAACTGCATAAGGTCATATGAGGGCCAGAAGATTAGAGGTGTTTCAAGAGAGTAACAAACATAAAAAAGGAGGGGAGATAAGGATGATAGACGTTTCATGGGAACGAAGAAGCAAACCACACCAGAGCACCCGCCAACCACCCACATATATATATGTACATGTATATAATAGGGAAGTTTAGAATAAAGCAAAGAGGGATGAAAGGGGAATTGACGAAAGAGAGACTGAAAAGACAGATGGAAGAAGAGGGAGTAGAAAGAAAAGAAAAAGGACAAAAAGAGATAAGAAATCCAAAACACAAGGAACAAGAGAACAGGATGAGCTGGGGGTGAGTGAGTGAGAGCGAGAGAGAGAGAGACAGAGAGAGAGAGACAGAGAGAGAGAGAGAAAGAGAGAGAGAAGGGGGAGAGAGATAGAGAGACAGAGAGTGAGAGAGAAAGAGAGAAACACAATGAATATATGAGCAATTCTCAAAAAGTGCTCCAAGTTGCACTGGATCTGAGATATGAGCTCTACTGGGTTTCTCCCTAGTATTAGCAATGAATGGTTGATATCCAGATGCCAAAATATGAATGATGAAACTTGCCTAGCAGTTTCAGGGCCTTGTGTTGTGTACTTTTTGTATTATAATTTATTATAAATGTGCCAAAAATCAGTCAAAAAATTGGTAGTAAAAATGTTACATTGACTGGGCTAGGGAACTCATTCATTCACCCTTTCTCCACATCATGTCAGGTTGTATGTTGTGGTGCTTTCCAAAAGGAGACTATCAAGACCTACAAAACAAGCAAAGAACCATGCTGTTTAGGTATTTTGTATTTGATCGGTGATGATTTAAACTTTCCGTAGTTGGGTGTGATGCTGTCAGTCATCAATAAGGTCAAATTCAAGGTACGCATTACTTACTTACTACCCGTTACGCCATCTGGCGTTTAGGGCAGCAACAAAGGATCTCCAGCTCTGTCTGTTTTGGGCCATCTTGGTCAACGTCCCCACGAATGGTTCCAGGACTTCACTTCAGACTCTACTGTGCGTCTCCATGTCACTTTGGGTCTGCCCCTCTTGCGATGTCCTTTGGGTGTCCAGAGTCTTGTCTTTACAATAGTCTGGTTCTCTTCTCAGAAAAAGCCCAATCCATCTCCAACTTCTCCTTGTTATTATGGTGGCCATGTCCTCTTGCTCGTAAAAGATCTGCGTTGGAAATCTTGTCGGGCCAGAATATTCGGAGGATTTGGCGTAAGCTGATTGTATGAAAGGAAGTTAGCTTGGCACGGTCATGATCAGTCATCCTCCAGCATTCAGCTCCAAATAAAGGCATCCATTACTTCACTTAAAATTATCTTTGAGCACTTTCTAAGTAAGGCTCTATAACTTTATTTATTTAATTTGATAATTAAAACATGGACGTAGAACATTAATTGAAGCAGGGATTTGGCTGGACGAATGTTTTTTCAGTGCGCACCTCTCTGTCAGTCACTTCATCACACCCGACAAGAGTCGACCCGAATCTCCTGAGCGATTAACCCGTGCATGATTTTCTTGGTACACTTTTGAATCCTTGCAGCTCAACTTCCTGCCGGATGTTGATTTCCTCAGTTTGATCATGGAGGAGAAGCCAGAAGGTAAATGATGCTCATTGTCTGTCATCAAATCCCAACCATCACGCCCAACCAACACATCACGACAGACAATAATTGAATGCTCTTGACACAAAACTGAAATTCATTTCGCTTGGTTTATTATCAGTTTTATTTCCCTTAGTTTTCCATGTTTTTCATCCAGGTTCAAATGCATGTTTACATTATCCTCCCATGTCGTAAATGGCTTTTTATTGAAAAGTGACAAACACAGACAGATCTGTCATTATCACACTCGACCGAAGAAACGGTTTTTTGCACAAAAGTACTTGGTTTTAGGTATCTAAGGTGTTGTATCGATAATCGGGTGCTAACCGCAGTTCACTGGGGCACATGTCATTGTGTTCTTGGGAAAAGATGATAGAGCCAGAAGCAATTAGCAGTTGGGCATGATGGACATTGATGACAGAACTTATTAAATCACGCTCAACTTCTGTAGCCTCTGTACTGGGTTTGAACAAAAACAAGGGTTGAAACACCTAGATCTATCACTTAAATTTGTCAAAGATATTACTTTTCTATGTCTAAAATCTTCTAGCTCTAGCTAGTAATTGATGGCCGAGACCTAAAGGTAGATTTATAAATAACTTTAGAAAGTCCAGGTCCCAGGTCACATCTTAAAAAATCTTAAGTCGTAAGGCGTGAATGTGGGAAGGGTGTCCTAGCATTAATTCTTTTCATGGTTGCTAACTGTTAAAAATTTGATATCCCTTACATTTTGGTATTTTTTTTCTGCACCAGAATGATCCTGGATGATACGAGGCGTACAGGAGGAGAGAAACTGTACGACCAATGGTGGTGGCCCGAAACTAAAGAACAAATTGAATGGAAGAGAGAAAATGTTTGCTTCAATTGCGACATCCAATTTTATCTTGTTTTGCATCATTACAACTTGCATAGATAATGTCAGCATCACTCTTCAATTTATTAACCGAATGGATTGTAACTTAGAGGCTTACTATTCATAGTATTGTCTGTCATCATCACACCCAATCAATTTCAATTGATATCAAATTGATGCAATTTACAGTTGAATACCATTCCCCTTTATGATTCTACATATGTGAGAATGGAATCAGCTCTTAATTTTATGACAGTGTTTGCTTTTTGTAGGCTACTAGTTACTACTTGCACCAAAGAGTATCTTCTTGTCTGTCATAATCACACCCGACTTTTTTGTCTGTCATCATCATGGCCAACAAAAATGTTGAACGTTTCAGGCTTAGCAAAGGCCCAATTGATTTTCTTGTTTTATTGTAGTCAGCTAATGAAGACAAATATCATGATTGAACAGATTTAGATGTTAAAAATTAGCCACTGTCAAAATGAAACATTCATGGGAGGGACTAGCAATAACGACAAGTGAATGAATTATGACGGTACGTCCACAGCGTGAGGGGCCGATTCAAAATTTATGACAAAGCGTCGGGCAATGAGTGACCATGCCTGGCCGCCTGAGGCAGGTAAATTTGACTGTGGGTTGATAAAATAAGGTGGCCCTGGCCACGTTGGACAGGTGAATGTTTTACAGTTAAATTGTTATGGGGGGGGGGGGGGAATTGTAAACTGGCCGTTTGTACAGGTGGCCGTCATGGCAGGTTCGACTGTGTATGGGCAATTCTCCTGAAAGTTTGAACTTTCCGTAACACGGGTATCAAATTTTAGAATTCAACCAAATAACTTAAAAATTTACTCAGTACATCTTTGACATGTCTAGTTTTGATCCCTACACGGCTGAAGCTAAAGCTTGCTTGGTTTCTCTGGAAACGGAAGTGAAGTTTAGACTAGTGCGCTATGGTCTTAAACGTTACAGGACACAACAATACGGGTCAAAACATGACGTGTAACAGAGGGAAAGAAAAATTAATGGGAGTGCTTATTTAGGCCACATATGGCCTAAATAAGGTAAGGGAGGGGGGTTTAGCTTATTTAGGCCACACATGTTCAAACTACCCTTTTCAGGCAACTGAGTTCATTCCACTTTCATAATGGTGCCCCTTTCTCATTTAGTATGGTTTTGCCTCAGTGTACAACTTATAAATCATAACCATAATGAATATTGTAAAGAACAAAGCACAAAACGCAAAATTTTGCTCAATTCCAATGGTTTGAATGAGGGCCGGATTTTTCCTTCATGGAGGGGCAAAAGCTAGGCTACCATTTTGGCACACTTTGGTCAAGTGAAAAGGTCAAATCCTCCGAATGGACTTTCGGGTTAAATTTGGGGTATAAAAAGTGTGTAAACTACGTGGCTGAGTCAAAGTTACACTATCTTTGCCTGAGTGACACTCTCTCGTACTGTCTCGTAGTAGTACATGTAGGCTAGTAGGCCTAGTAGTAGTAGTAGCAAAGATCGTGTAGAGAATATTTGGTAGTAGATTCTATCTAGTAGGCAGTTTAGTGAACGTGCTCGCGGTAGGGCGAATCGGCCTCGATAAGCCCCATAGACTTTTGTGATCGGCCACGAAGCCTCGTGTTTTGATGGGTCTAGATCTAGATCTAGATCTAAACAACTCAGTGCTATTCGCACTGCCACATCCGACAGGCCTAGATCTACATCTTTTTAAAAGGAAAAGAAAGATCATCAAAATGGTTGAATTCGCATGAAAATCGATTAGGTAGAAATGAAATGGTATAGGTTTAACGCCCCTATCAACACTATTAGGTTATTTAAGGGGCGGGACCTCCTAATTTAACGTCCGTCTCCGATAGGACCGAGCCAAGTGGGAAGTTTGTGTAAAGTGCCTTTCCCAAGGACACAAAGTCGGACCGAGCTGAGGCTCGAACCCCCGAACTCGCGAGTCCGGTA